TTAACATGAACTCTAAGATGCCTGAACAAAGCAGATAAAAGTTCCCTGAGATTTATTATTTACAGTGTGCTTTCTGCTGAAATTGTATATTCTATGAAATTATGGTAATGCTCCTCCCTTGCCACGGAGCTAACTGTATTAGCTAAACTGCTTAACTCTAAAAATGAACAGATCAGTATGAGGTTCCACTGAGATAAATGTTTCCTTTCAGAACTCACCATATGATATTGAACTTGGTGATGTGAGCCACCTGCTCCTGGAGAACCACTGTCAGAGCATCCTGGCACAGAGTAAGCTCCTTTATCAGAATGTCACTGAAATCCAGCACTATGGTGACGCACTGTTCCAGGATGACACCAAAAATCTGCCGGCTTTTGCTGGTGAGCCAATCCATCCACCGCTTATAGCTTTCCACAGCTTGTGTTAAAGATTCCACAAACTGATGGATCAGCTCTGATTTTGCTGTCAGCTGAGTGAAAATAAAAGTTTAAAAAAATGAGGCAGTATCAAAATGAACCATCAGAAACACAGTCATTGTGCACTAAACCTGTTTGTCCTAGCACTCTCCTGGCTTGGGTGACCAGTCATCCCTATTTACCCAGAGCTTTCCCATTTCTTTGTATATTTTCTTTCTTTCTTTAAATAAATAATTTGAGAATTTCGTGCATGCATATAAGGCGTTTTGATCAAATCCATGCCCAGTCCCTCCCCTCCAACTCCTCCCATAGCTCCCCACTGTTTTTTTTCTGACAACTTCATGTACTTTCTTTCTTTTTAATGGGGTTTTTTGCTACTCTAGCATTCTCCCCTCTGACTGGTGCTTTCTTTTTAACTTTAACAAGTCCCATAATACCTCCAAACACCCACATTGGAAAGGAAAATGTGCTTTCTATATACACTGCAGAATTCCACATTTTCATGCCTTATCTCCTTAAACTCCTTACCCCACCCGCAGCTCTCTCCACATCTCTCCTGAACTCATTCCCCAAGGTCCAGCATCACTTTTCTGCTGTACGCTGGTGCCAGGGACTGAACCCCAGAGCTTTGCCCATGCTACCCAAGTCTCTTCCACTGAGCCACATCCCTAGCCTTCTGCTACACCTCATGACCTCTTAATGCCTCACCGCCTTCTGTGACCTGTGGTACAGAACCATGCTGTGTAGCTCCTTCCTCCAAGGCAGAGGTAGGGAGGGGCTTAATAATAGAACTCCAGGAATGCAGCTTTGGTGATCACCCATGCTGGTATGGGGGCCTTTTTGGTGATGCACCGGCCATTGAGTTGCCCATGCTCCTGTGAGCAACCCCAGTAAACTCACTAGTTCATTAAGCTAGACTTGGATGGAATGGTTTCTTCAGTCTGTTCTTGGTGCCCTATCTAGGGTGAATAGACATTTATTCATGTCCGCTCTGGAAATTTTACAACACAAAACAGATTGCAGGGGATATGGAGGTGGGCTTAGGTGACAAAAAAAAAAGACAGATGTTTTCAACAGCTCTGTGATGGTTCTAGTGTGAGTCATTTTCATGCCTTATCTCCTTAAACTCCTTACCCCACCCGCAGCTCTCTCCACATCTCTCCTGAACTCATTCCCCAAGGTCCAGCATCACTTTTCTGCTGTACGCTGGTGCCAGGGACTGAACCCCAGAGCTTTGCCCATGCTACCCAAGTCTCTTCCACTGAGCCACATCCCTAGCCTTCTGCTACACCTCATGACCTCTTAATGCCTCACCGCCTTCTGTGACCTGTGGTACAGAACCATGCTGTGTAGCTCCTTCCTCCAAGGCAGAGGTAGGGAGGGGCTTAATAATAGAACTCCAGGAATGCAGCTTTGGTGATCACCCATGCTGGTATGGGGGCCTTTTTGGTGATGCACCGGCCATTGAGTTGCCCATGCTCCTGTGAGCAACCCCAGTAAACTCACTAGTTCATTAAGCTAGACTTGGATGGAATGGTTTCTTCAGTCTGTTCTTGGTGCCCTATCTAGGGTGAATAGACATTTATTCATGTCCGCTCTGGAAATTTTACAACACAAAACAGATTGCAGGGGATATGGAGGTGGGCTTAGGTGACAAAAAAAGGACAGATGTTTTCAACAGCTCTGTGATGGTTCTAGCGTGAGTCAGTTAAAAAAGATTAGTGTGCCAAACTCAAGGTTCCGTGGAGATTCTTGCTTAAGGAAAAATAGTTTTTAAAAGTAATTTAATTTTTTAGATACAATCAGTTCTCCTCATCCACAGGTTTAACATTCTCAAATTCAACCAACTTAAGATGGACAATAATAAAAACAAACCGCATCTGCACTGAATAATATAGAGGGTTGTTTCTTGGTATTACTCCCTAAACAAGATAGTGTAAGAAGTCACATAGCATTTACATTGTATTGGGTATTTTAAGCCATCTAGAGATCATTTAAAGTATGAGGAATTCCATAGGTTTTATGTGAGTACCAAGCCATGTCATACAAGGGACTTAAGCACACCAGGAATTGGGGTCTGTTAGAGAATCCTACAGTGATTCCCTGTGGAAACCCAGGGGTGACACATTAGGATGTAATAGTCTTGGTGGTACACAGATGTACCTTGACATACATGAACATGTCCATCAAAACAGGATGAAGCCTGTGGCTCCAAGAGACCATGAGGGGCATGTTGTGGGTCCTGGCCTGTGTGGACTCTAGGGGTGCAGAGCTCCAGTGAGGACTCTTGTTCATTTGCCCTCTACCTGCAGAAGACACCCCTCATCCTATGGCTCCCACCAGGTAACAGCAGTTCCCCTTCATCTTTCACATAATTTTAGAGATTACTGTCATATTGCTTCCCTCCGCCTCTCACTTTCAAAGAAAGCATATTACTATGTTTTACCACTGGTTAAGAGCGTTCTAAGCTAATCTCTTTTGGGTCGTGGGTCCATAACTTCTTTGCAATGACTTCTATTACTCCACTACTGCCCAAAGAAAACCTGAAGCCTGAAGCTCCACAGCCCCTGGGATCTGATATGACCTCAGCATCTTATCACAGAACCTGACCACTGAGAAAACCTACGTTGTACAGTCTGCCATCTTCTGCTCTGTAGAACTGTGGAAACAGACCATCTGCGTACCGAGAAGCCACAAGTCTCCCCAGAGAAGTCACATAATCTGCATTTTTATAAAGATAACAAAATTGGTGCATCAGCAAATCTTCTCATGTTTATTTCTAAATGTATTTCTCTGGCCCCAAAGAATATCTGCAGTGACATCAAAAATTTGTGATGCTTTGTATTTTGTCCCAAGTCATAACGTCTTTCTAAGAGTTATGATAAATCTAACTGCTCATGACTTGTGGAATCCTCTAATTCATGAATGAGTAAGAAGGAAGAACAGAGTTCATTTGCTAGTTTCCTGGCTCTTTTCTCCAAAACAATTAAGGCAAAGGTCAAAAAGATAACATGAAAATTGTATTTAATTCCTGAAATTTTACTGAAGGCTTGGGCTTAGTTTACAGAACTTTAAAAAAATCAATTTAGGCCAGGCACAGTGGAATATGCCTTTAATCCCAGGCAGAAGCAGGTGTATTTCTATTAGTTAGAGCCCATCCTGGGCTACATAGCATGTCCTAGATCAGCCAGAGCTACATAGTAAGACCCTGACTAAACAATAAATAATTTAATAATAATGACAATAATAATAATAGGCCAGGCACTTGGGAGGTGGAAGCAGGAGGATGTGGCATTCACAACCAGCCTGGGCTATATATGACCTGTTTCAAGAAACCAAAGCTAGGGGATGAAGGATAGCTCAATCAGTGAAATAACAAGAACTTACAGAACAAGCATAGGGATCTGGGTTTAAATCCCTAGCATCCACTTTAAAGAGCCAGACATGGTGGTATACATGTACAGTCCCTGTGGTGGGGAGGCGAAAAGAGGAGAATCCCTGGAGCTTGCTGCCAGTTCACTGGTGTGGCAAAATCAGTAAGCCTCAGGTTCAGTGAGATATGCTATCTCAAAAAATAAGGTCATAGGTTGGGTGTGATGGTGCATGCTTTTAGTCCCAGCACTCAGGAGGCAGAGACAGGTGGCTCTCTGTGAGATCCAGGCCAGCCTGGTCTACATGTTAGTTCCAGGCCATCTGTGACTACAGGGAGACCCTGTCTCAAAAAAACAAAAACAAAACTGTCATGTGCAAAAGAAGAAGACACCCAGCATTGATCTCTGGCCTAAACACACATGTGCACACCTAAACACACACAGGAGCATGTACACATATATGTATACACCACACACGCTAATAAAAATCTAAAACTGAAAAGATGATTCTTTAAAATCAAAAATAATAAATAAATGTAATAAATCAACTTAGATGCCATCGACTGTCCTCTCAAGTTTTGGTTCGTGACTCATTGAGGGGAATGAGGCAGCAAGTAAGAGACCCAGAAGAGCCAAACATGATGTCAAAGCCACAGTATTTTGTTGAGGCTTGCAAGATATAAATGGAACGCTCAATTAGCTGATTGAAATGCATTGCGAGTTCTCCATCCAGTGACAACTGGAGTATATGCTCAGCTGAGTACTCTCCATGTAGTAAGAGCCATGCATATATATGAATATAATGTGAATATAATGTTGCCTGCAACACATTCCTAGTCCATCATGGAATTCCAAGAAGGCCGTCGAGGCTCTAAGGATGAACTGTGACAGCGGGGCCAAAGATGAGGCAAAGCTTCTCAGAGAAGTCTTTATAACAATGGTGACTTCATTGTGGTGGTCGGTTAGTTGTTGATTAATCCCAAAGGTCACGTTCTTGACCCTAGTACTTCCTTTTCCCTGCCTTTCTAAGGAATCAGGGTAAAAGTCTACTTTACAAAGGCAGAAATGCCGGGCTTGAATTTTACAGCCTCATTGGCCAGATTGGCCCCAAATCACAAGTCTTGAAGTCCAACTCTTGCACCAGTAAAGGGTAAAGAATGGATATTTGTATTCTATTAACTATACTTCCCCACACCCACCCCTGTCAACAGATTATCAAACTCTAAAGTCTATTTTCAAGATTTCAACTTCTTAATTGACATTGATTCAAGGACTGCAAATCAGCAGCCACATCCTTTTTGCTGCACCAGAAGCATTTATCTGAACTCAGAAGAGAGGCTGTTTTTAGACACTTGAAGGATATAAGTCTATGGACTGCTTGTTTGCTGACTGAAATGCACTGTGAGGTCTGCATCCAACCACAGTGGAGCAGATCTTATTGGGCAACTATACATGATAATGAACTCCAGACCAAATATAAATATCTGTCTAAAGGCGTTAACGGTCAGTCAAGAACAGACATAGCCCAACTGCCATTCATCTTCATAAAGAAGATAGTCGCTGGTGAGATTTGTTTGTGTTTAGTAGAGAATTTGGAGTTTGGGTTCAGTCAAGTTAACTTCCTGTTAGAATAAAAACCAGCTTTCCATCTATCAATTGATAAGTAGATGAACACACTGTGATATGTCCATACAATGAGTATTGTATGGTTTGTTCTTCTTCACTGAAGACCTCGAGGTATAACATTAGGTTATTTATTTGAGCTCTCTGCTTTCTAAATTTTTTTATTTATTCATTTACTTATTTATTTTTATTTTATATGCATGAATGTGTTGTGGGTAAGTACATGCACTACATATGTGCAATGTCCGTGAAGGCCAGAAGAGGGTGCCAGATCTCCTGGAACAGGAGTTATGTAACTGCTATGTGGGTGCTAGGAATTGAACCCAGGTCCTCTGCAAGAGCAGTCAGTACTCTTAACCAATGTGCCATCTCTCCAGCCCCGTAAACATATTTTTAAGTCATCAGAAATATTATCTATTTAAGCAGCTGTACAAAATGAAAACACGTTTAGTGATAAAAAATTTTAAATGTAACATCATATCATGAATTTAAAAAAGAGTACTGAACATTTTAGTCTTTCTCAGGACAAGTCTGGATCATTCCACGTATGTGTGGAA